TACAAAATTTAAAGGTGGAGAAGTTGAGGTATTATATAAGGATTGAAGGTGAGCGGCAAACCAGTTAAGTCTAAAAAGTAAGTTCTTGTTGTAAATTTGGTTTAAAATTGAATGGCAACCATTGATGTGGAATTCTAGAATAGGTAAAACTAGTCTCTGGTGAAAGAAGACAAAACAGTCATTGTTCCAGGAGGATTTTACTTCTTTCCCAACCTCAGTGCCTTTTAGTTTTCCTGTCTCACTGCACTGCCTAGAGCCTCCGGTATAATGCTGGGCAGGTGGTGAAATGGACACCTTTGCCTCACACCCAAACTTAGGGAAAACGCATGTTGCATTTCACTATGGAGTATGCGACTAGCTGTAGGGTTTTTGTAGATGCTCTTTCTCAGGTAGATGATGTTCCATTCTATTCCTAGTTTGCTGAGAGGTTTTTACCAAAACTGAATGTGGGGTTCACGTCAAATAAATAACTAGGGAAATGCAAATAAAATGCTGATGAGATACCACTGCTTACCTACTGGAATGACTAAAATCCAAAAGACTAACCATACCAAGTACTGGTGAAGATGGGAGCAATTGGAACTCTCACTCAGTACTATGGGGAGTGTGGTACAACCACTCTGGACATCAGTTTGACAGTTTCTTTAAAGTTAAGAAGGAACCTACCTGGTTTGGCTCAGTGGGTAGGCCTGCAGGCTGAAGGGTCCCGGGTTCAATTCCGGTCAAGGGCACATGCCCAGGTTGCGGGCTCGTTTTCCCAGTAAGGGGCGTGCAGAAGGCAGCCAATCAACGGTTCTCTCTCATCATTGATGTTTCTAACTCTCTGTCCCTCCCCCTTCCTCTCTGAAATCAATAAAATAAAATTAAAATAAAATTTAAGAAGGTATCTATCAGAAGAAATGAAAGCACAGGTCCACACAAAGGCTTGTGCCTGAAGGTTCATAATTGCTTTATTTGTCACATCCACACACTGGAAACAACCCAAATGGTCACCAGCAGGTGAATGGATACACAACTGTGCAATATTCATACCAGACACCACAATAAAAAATAAACTATCGATACCTGAAATAATGTGAATGAGCCTCAAAATAAGTATGCTGAGTGAAAGAAATAAGACCCCTCCCCAAAATAACATATTCTATATGGTCCGCTTATGTGAAATTATTGAAAATGAAAACGATTCTACGGAGGCAGAAAGCTGATCACCGGTTGCCTGTGGCAATGCCCCTCTGGAACCCACTGCAGATGCTCGCGAACAACCCAGTGATAGAAAGGACCAACCGTCGCTGGGCCACGTCTGGGGAATCAGGGAGGTAAACTCTTGGGTCAGGAACCTGGGACCCATATAAAGTGCTCAGAGGAGAGTCAGGCTCGCACACAGCTCTGCGGCACCTGTGAGAGGAGCCCCGCGAGCCAGCGCTCCGCAGTGCAAAGGGCCCAGTGGCATGTAACCCAGTCCTGCTCCAACCCGAAGAGGAGCAGAGGGTCCAGGCCCTGGAGCTGGGGCCGGCCTCCTGGGTGGGAGGAAACGTGGACTGCGTGAAATGATCACCTACTAGATTCCAGCGTGCCCTCTAGAGTCCTCTCACCGTGCATTCGACTGCATCCATGTCCTGAGCATCCACTGTGGGCTGCAAGAAAGACACGGCCCCAGCCATCAGAGTTGTTTATCTGCCTGTTAGAATCCCGGGAGGAGACACAGGCAGGGCAGGTGAACAGAACCTGGTGACCAATTAGCCCTAGGGGTCGGGGGACACAGGATCCGTGACGACGGTCCAGCTTTCAGGGCTGGCTGACTGGAAGGGCCAGGGAACCAGAGTCAGGCACAGGTGATCGAAGGGAGAGTTGGGCAGGAGTGTCAAGTGTAGTTCGGGTCACGTTGAGACGGATGTAATTTCTTTGGCTGGCCCCTGAGAACCAACAGAATTTGTGGAGGAAAACAACGCCAGGGCCAGAGAGCGGGGTGCCTGGCCAAGGCCTGAGGATGGCAAGGAGCCCCGGGACTTTGTGCTGTACCCCTTTGTGGCAGAGGGGACCTGGTCAGGGGTCGGGCAGCCGCCTGTGGTCCAGTCTGAGCACTGACACTTACTACCCTCTAATCCAGCCGTGGGCAAGCTACGGCCCGCAGGCCGGATCCGGCCCGTTTGAAATGAATAAAACTAAAAAAAAAAAGACCGTACCCTCTTATGTAATGATGTTTACTTTAAATTTATATTAGTTCACACAAACACTCCATCCATGCTTTTGTTCCGGCCCTCCGGTCCAGTTTAAGAACCATTGTGGCCCTCGAGTCAAAAAGTTTGCCCACCCCTGCTCTAACCCCCGGCGAGCTGTTTCCCTTCTCTGAGTTACTGGCAGCTGCTATCTGCAGATGAAAGCACTCTCCTCGCCCATTCCACAGGCTGGCTTTGAAGAACCTAAAGGACATTTACCAATTGCATGAGGCTGTCTAATAAAAGGCGCCCGGACAAGGTCCTCCACCAACAGCTGAGGCCTGTAGCGATGTTCCCGCCCAGAGCCGCTCAGTGGCTAGCGGGAGCCCTGGCTCTCCATGCCCCTGTGACACCCTGTCCCTCAGGGCACCTGCTGCATGAGCCTCTTTGGGGGCCATCCCAGAAGATGAGGCCCTAAGACCCCACTGCTGTCTCTGACACAAACGACCTCTTGCCTGCATGGCCCAGCCCAAGGTCAGCCTCTGAGGATAAGTTCCAGCCCAGGTGCCAGGCAGAGCAGGAGCCCACAGCCGCCTGGACCCCCCGAGCCCTCCGAGCCACGCAGGCTGGGCTGGCACCTGGGAAATGAGACGCGCGGTTCGCAGCATGTGCTCCAAGGAGGTTTATTCGTGGCCACGCTCTTGCCCCGAACAAGGGGCCGAAAGCATCCTGATGGGGAAACAAGGCAACCACAGGCTGCCTGCCAGGCGCCCAGGGGGACGGCGATGTGCCTGCTTCCAGCACAGCCCTCTGCCCGGTAAGCCTCCTCCTAAGAGGTCACGGTTCAATTCCTGGTCAGGGCACATGCCCTGGTTGCGGGCTCAATCCCCGGTGTGGGGCACGCAGGAGGCAGCCAATCAATGGTTCTCTCTCAACACTGGCGTTTCTGTCTCTCTTTCGCTCCCCCTTCCTCTCTGAAATCGATAAAAACATATTAAAGAAAAGTTACAGTTCCTGGAGGTTTCTTGTCCTGTCTGACACCTGCTGGGCCAGACCCCCGTGTGCTCTCCGCTGGGCCAGCACATCTGGCAGAGTTAGCCCCACCCTCACCCGGCAGCGTCGGTGCTCCTAGAAACAACTAAAGTCTGGAGCGGACAAATCCTATCAGGTTCCCCAACTGCTCCTCCAGGCGCTGCTCGTCTCCGTCGTTCTCGATGACCCAGTCAAAGTCCCCAAAGTTGTCCAGGCCGCATTCGGACTCGCCATCGTCCACTCCTGTAGAGGAGGCAGGGCGAGGTCAAGGCCGCTCCTTCCGGACAAGCGCGGGCGTGGAGGCCTGCTGGCCCCAGGCGGAGCGCCCGCTCTCACCTCTCCCCTTCCGCTCCAGAGCCAAGCTGCCCCCACCCCACAGAGGGACTTCCCGACCCCCTGAAACACCCCGAGAGCAGGTTCAGGAGCCCACAGCCACCTGAGCCCTCGGAGGGTTCTGCTGACTGAACTCTTCACTTGCCACTTCCTACAGAGGGCGAACTGGGTCATCTAAACCACAGGCCACCCGAAAGGGATTTTCCACTTGGCGTGAAGCTCGGGGCGCTGCTTGCTTCCTATCCCTACGCCTCTGTGTGCCGTCCTCACTGGACAGTGAGAGGAGTAACGTTGGCATCACCTGGCAGGTCTATTGTGTCTGTAAAGTGAGTTGCAAAGTGTTTAGCGCAGGCCCGGCCTGTGGTGAGTGTTAGAGAGACGAACAGCCATCAGGAGGGGTTGTACCCTCTGGATTTGAACTTCCCCGAGTCACAGTGACCTAGGGCAGGAGGCCTGACCTGGGCCTCTGAACTGCCTGGGCTCTCACCGCTGAGGCTGCCTAGCACAGCTTCCTCTTGCTCCCGCGCCCCACCCCCTCGCTCTGTTAACCAAACAGGAGGGAGTTGCTGGGCCTGCCCCTGGCCCACTGTCAGCCCCGACTGGGCTGGGGTGGGTCCCCGCCACTCCTCCAGAAGCCACTGGCCTAGAAAGGACAGCCCTGGAAAGAGTACCCCCCAAAATCATAGGGAACCTCTACTTCCCCAGAACGCTGCCCCCACCACACTCCACTTTCTAACCTGGGGCACTCCTGAGTCTCAGATTCCCTTTGCTAACCCCTCGCTCGCTCTCCGACACCCTTCCAGGGAGAGAGCAGATGACCTAGAACCTGGGGAAAGGCGGCCTGGTCTGCAGGTGGGGTGGTCAGCCGTGTTCCGAGCCCTGGGGCCAAAGGCTGTGAGCAGCTCACCTGGTGTGAACACCCAGCCCCGCTGCTGTCGGCTCTGCTCCGAGGCCACCACGCGGACTGTCTGTGTCACAGCCCCATAGGCCTCCCGGAACCACTGGATATCAGACAGCCTCCGTGTGTCACTCACCAGCTGCAGGGAAGGGACACAGACAGGTGACCAACAGGATATGGTGCAGGGAGCAGCAGGTAAGGGCACTGCAGGTAGGGGAAGACTCAGCCCTACTTAGAATAAGCAGGAGCACAATGAGGTCAGTGGGGGGACTAAAGAACCCAGACAAGTGTACCCCCATTATCACCCAACCAGCTGGGACAGACATCTCCTCCTCCTCCAGGCAGCCCTCCCTGATTGCTGCAGCCTGCAGCCCACGCTGCCCACACTCTGTCACTGTCACACTTTGTGTTCGGGGGTCATGCTGGTCATTGCTGTGCTAAAGAAGAGGCCTCAGGCTTTGAAATCACTTCAGCTAGTTCAACACACTCACTTTACAGATGAACAAACTGGGCCAGAAAGAGTGACTCTAACAAGTCCCTGCCCACCCCCACCCCCAGCACCTTTTAAAACATACCTGTGATTTTTGTCAGTAAACCTCCCAAAGGCTTCCCATCATTCCAACAGAACCCAAAGTTCTCACCCCAACTTACGAGGCCCTACAACATCTGGCATCCTCCCCACACTCGTTCCACTGCAGCCAACTGACCTCCTCGCTGTTTCTCAGGGCCTCTGCACGTGCTCCTCCCTCTGCCTGGATAAATACAAGGCAGGCTCTCTCACTTCATGGAAGTCTCTGCTCAAACGTCTCCTCCTCAGAGAGGCTGTCCCTGCCGCCCTGGTGACCTTCCTGCCCCTCTTGATGCTGATACGTACTTTCCTCTGAGCACTAAGAACTCAAAACCATCGCGATGTGTTTGTTTGCATGTTTGTTGTCTGCCTGCCCTACCCAGAGGCAGCTCCAGGAGGGAAAGGACTCTGACTCATCACTATCCCTGGCCCCTAGTGCACTGTCTGACACGTGAACACGCAGGGCATACGTTCAATGGATGAATGAATCAACAGGTACTATCGCAAGTGCCTACTGTGTGCCAGGTGCTGGAGACCAAGTGCTTGTCCCCTCAGAGCTTGTCGTCGTAGGTGAGACGGACACTGAGCAAGCAGCTTCACTAATAACTGCAATCACAGTGCAGATCAGCAAGCGTTCGACCTCACCGCTGCCCAAACTGGGTTCCTGATTTGCTCCCCAAGCCTGTCCCTCCCACACCTTTCCTGCCTCAGAAAACGACAGCTCTGTTTTTCCAGCCGCTCAGAACAAAACCCTTGTCACTGTCTTCTGTCCTCACACCCACAGCCAACTCACCATTGGTTCGATCTGGGCAATCTGTGCCGAATCCACCCTCTCTCCTCCCCGCCCCGTTCTGAGCCGGGCCACGGCCACTTCGCCTTTCTGACAGAGATCCTCGCCCTGGCTCTCCGCTCCTACGCCTGCCCTTCCCCCAGCAGCCAGGATGGGCCTTCCAACCTCAGATCACATCATGTCCCATGTTCCAAGCCCTCCACGGAGTCACCATCTCACCCAGAGAAAGATCCAGGCTCTCCCAAAGACGCTGCACAACCTGACTGCACCTCCTGCCACTCACCCCTCACCCACAAATACCCGTCTGGCTTACCCCGACCTCCTTCAGGTCTGCTCAAATGTCATTTCAGAGAGGCCTTCTGACACCCTCAATAAAGCAGCAACCCAGCCTTCCTCACGGCCCTGGCTGCCTTTATTTTGCCCCTTCGAATTTATCTCCAGTCTCCCTTAAAATCAATGGAAAAATATCCTCGGGTGAGGGATAGATAGATGGATAGATAGACAGATGGATAGATAGATAGATAGATAGATAGATAGACAGACAGACAGATAGTCGCTCTGGCTGCTAGGTGGTGAGTGACTCACAGGGGACAGGAGCTGATGCCGAGACCAGTGTGGGCTACGAGGTTGTCCAGGGGAGAGATGGTGAGGGCTTGGACCATGGGAGGCGGCAGTGAGGAGAGAGAAGTGGGCACATCTGAGTCTCATTCGGGGAAAGGCGAGGACTGGAGGGAGACACGGAGTTTTCTCAGTGCTGCCTGTCGGCACCCTTACCCAGACCGGCTGGCAGACGCCCTCCACGACCTTCCTGCAGAAGAAGCCCGGGTCGGCCTGGCGCTGCGCTGAGCAGCTATATTGACAATTGTTCCCCATTATTATACAGCATCCTCTATACACTATTCCAAATCTTGTTTGTTTGTTTGACTTAATAATATAGCTCGGCAATTCATGCAACTAAATTTCTGAGGGGAGAACCCGGGTGGGGCACCAGCTGAGGCAGTGATGCTGGTGTCACTCTCTCGGAGGAAGAGTGTGCGCAGGCGCTCACTCATCCACAGCATCAGCGCGGCCACCTCCCCGCTCTGGCCTTTCCTGGACGCGCTTTTTTATTTTTTATTTTTTTATTGACTTCAGAGAGGAAGGGCTCTCTTGGAGGAAGAGTGTGCGCAGGCACTCACTAATCCACAGTATCAGCGCTGCCACCTCCCCGCTCCGGCCTTTCCTGGATGCGCTTTTTTATTTTTTATTTTTTTTATTGACTTCAGAGAGGAAGGGAGAGGGAGAGAGAGAGAAACATCAATGATGTGCGAGAATTATCGATTGGCTGCCTCCTGCACTCCCCCTATTGGGGATCAAGCCCATAACCTGGGCATGTGCTCTTGGCCGGAATCAAACCTGGGACCCTTCAGTCCGCAGGCCGACGCTCTATCCACTGAGCCAAACCAGCCAGGGCTGGACGCGCTTTCTTGAACCTGCTCTGGGGAGGGGCCTGAAGGGAGCGAGGCCAATGGGAAAGAGGTATAAGCTGAAAATGCCCCCCAAAAGTCCACCCACAGAAAACCGAGAACCGGCCACCGCCCTGCCAGCCGTGGTCACAGGGACCCTACTGGTGACTCAGACAGCCACAGCGACCGATGCCAGGGGCTGGCTCCTTCCTGCCCATGAGATGTCCCCGAGAGCCACCTCCTACCTGGGCATACTGCTCCTTGAGGGGACCAGAGAGCCGGAGGACAGCACAGACGTCCTCGCCGAGTCTGCGGAACAGAGACCCAAGCCAGTTAGCCTGTTTCTTCCGGGCCCCAGGAGAGGCACAGGTAAAACAAATAAAACTACAAGGACAGTGCTGTTCTCGCTCGATTCGTTTACTGCTGGACCCCTGAACTAGTCTCCCACCCGGGGCACCTCAGCCTCAACTGACTTGGTCACCACAGCATCAATCATTCATTCATTCAGGTCAGTTGACCCAACCAACCATTTCTTGTACCGAACTGTGTGCTCACAGGTTCTCTTAAACGCTGACATGGTGACACAGTGTTCTTGTTTCCACATTTCCGATGAGAAAATGAAGGTTGAGGGAGAAGAACCGACTCGCCCAACGCAGCGCTGCCAGTAAGGAAGCCAGCGCTGGCCAAAGAAAACTAAGAGCCAACATCTAGTTCCCGCACCTTTACGAGGTGTCAGGCATTGTTCGAAGGCCTTCACGGCCATTATTTTATTTAGTCCTTACAACCACCTGTTACACGTCCCACAAATAACAAAACTGAGGCACAGGATGGATAAGAAACGTAGACAAGCCGAACCGGTTTGGCTCAGTGGATAGAGCGTCGGCCTGCGGCGTGAGGGGTCCCAGGTTTGATTCCGGTCAAGGGCATGTACCTTGGTTGCGGGCACATCCCCAGTAGGGGGTGTGCAGGAGGCAGCTGACCGATGTTTCTCTCTCATCGATGTTTCTAACTCTCTATCCCTCTCCCTTCTTCTCTGTAAAAAATCAATAAAATATATTAAAAAAAAAAAGAAAGAAAGAAACGTAGACAAGATCACAAACTCAAACGTGGTGAGTCGGGATTTGAATCTCAGCCGTCTAATCCCATAACCGGTGCTTCTCGCAACTGTCTGACTCCTTGTTTGCAGGGAAGGAGAAAGGCAACTTAGGGAAAGCTGGTGGAGGCTCCATGGGGAAAATGCAGGTGGTGATCTCTGCCCTGGGCTCCCCCACGAACTCTTAGAACCAACCCCTGTTGTGCCCAAAAGCAACCTCTAGGTACCACGCCCCCCCCCCAACACACATACACACACACACACACACACACACACACAGTCACGAAGCGGAGAGGTGCCTGCCCTGCTTCTCCCTGCTCCTCTGCCCACCCCGACCCCAGCCCATGCCTCCACAACAAATCGCTCCCACATGAAACATCTCGCTTGGAGAGAAAACAGCGGAGAGAAAGCTGCTGCTGGGGAGACAGTGAGGCGAAGCAGAAAGAACCCGTTCCTTGCAGTGAGTTTAAGGAATAACTTCAGTCCTAGATCTGACTATGACTTTGTAACCTGGCAAGTTTAGGTTTTGTTTGGGTTTTTTTACTTTTCAAAGACTCGGTCTCTTCATCTGTGAAATGGAGACACTAATAATACCACACAGCACCTAACCAAGAGGTGTGGAGGATTAAGTGAGATAAGACACTAACAGAAACACACAGTGCCTGGCTCATAACCCAGGCTCACTCAACCCCAACTAGTAGGGGGTGTGCTGGGCAAGGGTTTCCATGTCTCTGGAGCCAGACGCCATCGGAGTGTGGTCTTGGGCAAACCCTTCCCCCGTGACTCAGTTTCCCTCTCTGTAAAGGTGAGCTCCCAGCACTGCCGCGCGCGCGAGTAGGAGCGGAGGGTAAGAAGTGCCTTATGGCAACTGTTACCACTGCTTCTGGGCGAGGGAGACCCGCCGCCCACCGTCCTTGGAGAGGGGGTCGCTCGGTTCTTCCAGGTAGATGTGTGCAGGCTGCTGTTTTAGGTGCTGCTGACCATCCCCCCACCTCCTCCCACCTGTACCCCAGGACCCCTACTCCAAAGCTCCCGCCCACTGCAGCGCACCCCGCGTCACGTGGCGCGGGGTTTCCCACCCCTCCTCCCCCCCTCCCCCACCTGCTCTGCAGCGCCTCGGTCACGAAGTCCTTCCCGGATTTCCTCTTCCCGCTGAACAGCAGCACCAGGCGGGGGGCTCCTCCCCGCGGGGCCATGGGGCCCCCACACTTGGGCGATCCCTAAAAATGGCACGACTCCCCACCCTTAAATTGGGCCACGGGCGCGGAACGGGGGCGGCCACCCG